CAAGCTAAGTGCCTGCCTGGCAAGCGTAGACACGGTTCAATTTCTGGTACTGAATGCCACGCTTCAGTGCTAGTGACCAAAACTGGTTGTGGTGGCACACGTCTATAATCCCAGTGCTGGGGAGGGTGAGACAGGAGGGTCACTACGAGTCTGAACTGTGTATCAAGACCCTGTACCAAATAAATAAATAAATTTTAAAAAGAAAACAAAAACAACTTGGTTTTTTTGTACAATTAGTTCCTAATGTCTCTAGGCATAAAATAATTCAATATGGCTTGGCAAAAGTACACAGACTAATGTAATTTTCTTGTCTTCTTCCATTTCCCAATCTACAAATTTATTGCGACATATACGTACAGTGTGTTTGGTAAAGGATAATATATTTAATTTCTCCATCAAGTCCACCATGAGCAATTGTAAAGCTTAAATTCTAGTTTTTTTTTTTTTTTTTTTTTTGGTTTTGTTTTTAAATTTTGAGAGTGGGTCTTGCTAATTGCTCAGGCAGGCCTTGCTTGAACTTGCAATTCTCCTGCCTCAATCTCCCAGAGTGCTGAGATTATAGGCATGTGTCATAGGCCCAGCTGTGACTCATATTTTATAACAGAATGTCCCTGACTTTGGGTTTGCCTGATGTTCCCTTATGATTATAGATCCACAGTTTTTGAGGCAGAATACCAGAGATATTGGGGGCCTGCCCCTTAGCACAGCTCTTTTAAGTGCCTGCTTCAACAAAGCAGTCAGGCTCAGGTTGCTGTGGTTCGATCCCCAGAACTCAAGCCAGCCAAACCTGCCCTGAAGGCATTTGGAGCAAAAAAACAAAAACAAAAACAAAAAACAAAAAACAAACAAAAAAACCACCAGAGATACTGATTCTTTTCATTGTGCCCTATCAAGAAGTGCATGGTGGATCACAAGTGTATGATCCCAGCTTTGCAGGAGAGTGAGTCAGCCTCACCCCAATTTCAAGGCCAGTGTGGGCAACTCAGCAAGATCATGTCCCAAAATAAAAAGCTGGGATTACAGCTTAGTGGTAGCATAGTTGTCTAGCATTCATGAGGCCCTGGATTCAAATCTTATTTCCAACCACAACGATCAGGTGAATAATGCTGGGATGCCTCATTCCTGAGGAGGCAAACTTCCATTTCTGACTTCAGTTGTGGCAGGCTGGACTTCTCCACTGTAAAGTAACTAGTTTGCTACTTTGTAATCATATGTACCTTGTGTGTAAATACTCTGAGATAGTGTAAACATTTGCTTCTCTTTCAAACCTTTAGCCACTAGCTTTAACATCTACTAATGATTCTTGATATAATTATTATTGTGAGGCCCCAGAAGGTAATTTTCTATTTCATAATTCCTTACTGATTTTTGGACCCAGGGCCTAACCATGCAGTCCAGCTTGGTGTCCAACTCAGTATGTAACCCAAGCTGACCTTTTAACTCATGATCCTTCTGCTTCAGCTTCCTACATACTGGGATCACAGGTGTGTACCATCATGTCAAATCAGTGAAAAAATTTAGTACCACCACAGCCATGTTTATGTATTTAACTGGAACTCTGAAAGACTCAAGTCAGTAAATAATAATTATTATTACTTTAAATTTTGTGTTGGACATTGTGCCCAGGGCCTTGCACTCTATCAATGAGCTTCACTTCCCAACCCTCTCAACAACAATAATAATAATAATTATAATATAATAATAATAATAATAATAATAAAAATATTGTATGAAATTACCATCAAATTATGTGCAGGAGAGTGAGTCAGCCTCACCCCAATTTCAAGGCCAGTGTGGGCAACTCAGCCCACATGATGGTACACACCTGTGATCCCAGTATGTAGGAAGCTGATCTTGCTGAGTTGCCCACACTGGCCTTGAAATTGGGGTGAGGCTGACTCACTCTCCTGTGTCACATAATTTGATGGTAATTTCATACAATATTTTTAATTATTATTATTATTATTATTATTTTGAGGTAGGGTCTCACTTCAGGCTAGCTTTGGTTTCACTATGCAGGCCAAGCTGGTCTCAAACTCATAACCTCCTGTCTCAGTCTCCCAAGTGCTGGCATATAATAACATCTCCCACTCCCCACAAGCATTTTATAGTGGTATGGATTCATGGATATTTGTTTTATTCTATGGTTCTAACTTTATTATTATTTATTTTTAGCTTAGGTCATCTCAGATTTGGCTTTGACAAGTCCATTCAGACTGGTTCCTGTGTCCTTTTGTTTTGTCCACATAAGTTTTTAAGCAATTTCCCATGAACTGTTCTAGGCTCATTTGTGTTCCTCCCTCTGCTGCCTTCAAACACCAATTCCTCCAATAAGGACTGCCATCTTTTATTGGAAAATTATACAGGCTGAGTATCCCTTCCTTGAAATGCATGGGAATAGCAGTGTTTCAGACATCACAATTTTTTTATTTTGGAACATTTGCATGAGATATCTTAAGGAATGGGATCTTAGTCTAAACACAAACTTTTTTTTTTTTTGAGACAAGAGTTTGTGTGCTTAGACTGGAAAAAGTAGACAGTCTTGGGCTCAACAGATCTTCCTGTGAA